ATAAAACCATCCAAATGTTGTCTGTTAGAGCTCGCTATCAGCGATAAGACCGTCCACTGCACCTAACATTTACATTAAATTTAATGTCTATTTTATTTATAGGTATATGGTGTCCAATAAAGAATATTCTATCTTGTTTATAAATTCAAAGCCAGTGGATGATGTATTTGTATTTTTGTCGATAAAAAACAATTAAGGGGTCCAGTATAATGAACAACAAATGAGACCATCATAGTATAATCTTATATCTAATACACGCTAACATAAAATATATATTGACTTAAAGTAAAAATCTACTTACGTTGGTATATGTTGGGTTCGTTAGTGCTAACTTGCAAGTAATACGGCGTTCAACTGTGGCAAGCATTATGCAACTTAAAATAAAACTATGGAAACATGTGAACAAAAACTACCTAAAATACTAAATTTAAACTTTTACTTATGGAATCTAGCGATGAAAAATATATTGAAAATATGCGGATAGATGAAAAGCCTTCTGACTCACGATTTTGACAACGCACGCCGGGCGTGCACTACTGAGCCAATTAGTGTGTGATCATTGCCAATGCAACCTGGTTGAAATCTTAGGCAATTCAAAGGTAATTCCTGTTTATATACATAATAATATACCGACATTTATTAGTGAGTTATTCTAATACATTAAGGTCACTAATAAGACACGCAGTCATTGGAAATGACTATCTGACTGAAAGTCCGTCAGATTTACAACAATAATCCTGGATTTCAAAAACGACTGTAAGTCACTATAGCAGAACAAAACTACATAATGTATTCCGACTTAAGCACTAAACTAAAAAAAAAATATGTAAATTCTTGGCATTTATTTACATGCTCAATTAGCCATTTGTATACAATTGTACTATTTTTTTTATTAAGAGGTAGTCTAAGATAAGACTATTGTGCAACCCCAGTCGGTGGAATCCGGCCAACTACGTCACGTCGCACACGACACGACATGACGAATGATGGTGGATGTTTAGAGACGCGATAATCCAATAAAAATTCCCATGGGAAGAACATGATACCTGCTCCATGTACTCTAACTCATTTCTGTGCCATATATCATCTTATACAATTATTGTGATATTTGAAAAGTAGGTACAGTCTTGACTCGTATAGGGACAAAATAGAAAACAAGTTTATAATATACAATTTGTTCGTTTTCCGTCATTGAACTAAATATGAGTTTTTACTTTATCTATTTATAACGGGTTTCGTAAAAAAATATTGAACTTATTAGTTTTATCTTTTAGAGGCCTTTTACCTACGTATATAATGGTCGGTCGATAAATAATTATGTAGATAAAATACATATGACTGCAGTCAGTCAGTCAGATTTTGAAGTTAATTTAGTAGCGCTATTGAATATTGAAGGCAAATTATTTTCAGTTGTCAAGTGCACAACATGTTGTACGAAAACTTCTTTAAGAACGCTTACCGACGTGAAGTTCACGTGTTAAAACATTCTACCTCTGGGACCTGTAATTACTTTACATCCATTAATTATTTTTTCCATATATATATTTAAATTTGATGAATATTCCAAATTTTTTGCGCTTAGGTAAATCAGTGAAATGTTAATACTTTGTAAATTAAAGGTCAACAAAAAATAATTATTGGGATCGCTTTACAACGGGTGAAGATAATATAGCGTAACTCACAAAACACCCAAATAAAATCTTTCAAATTTAGAATTTTTTAATTACGAGATTTGAACTATATATTTTCCAAGTCGCTGGCATGGCACGATCTCGTCATTAATACAACCCAGCAGATTTACTCTACGTTGCTCGTCACGGCAAATGTGAATATACCTATCTATTCAATTTTTTATGCATATCAATTATTTGACGGTAAACTGAGAAACAAAACTAAATTATAAAATCAGAAAAGCGAAATAGAAGTTCTAGACCCAAAAAGAGTATATCATCGTTTTGAACCTTATTGTTTGAAGAACCTTTATTCATAGATTCATTTCGGTGTTAGATGGATTCGTTTTAGTTTCGTGGTATCGTAGACAAAGCTACTTTTGGTTTCATCATTAAAAAAAATCGTTCATAGCCACTGAATGTCTCTTTCTGTAAGTCGTTCAGTAATCATGATCATGCTAGTTTGGACCCTCTCATGTTGAATGAACTCAAAGTTGAAGGGGACAACATATACAAACCTAGTGATAGTTTTAGTAGTCAAGCTCAAACTACGAGATTACAGATCAATAGAGAATAGGCAGTATAGTTGACTCAATTCTTCATATATGAGTTTCTAACTGAGGTTTTTATGACCATTAACAACCGAAATTAGAACAAGAAAAAAGTAATTGCTGAGTTATTACAATTTATACTTCTATTAAAGTATAACATTATTATGATACCAAAAAATTAAAGCGCCCTTGTCAGATATAGATTATATCGATACATTTTTTTTCTTCTTTACCCGTACCTCTAAAAGTCAAGTTAATTTATCGGAACATAAATAAACATGTCGCGTATTCGTTTACAATAGATGATAGTGCACATCTGCAAGGGTCCCAAGACCCAATGAACTTTCCCTTAACAAATTACAAGACCCGTGTTAGTCCAACGATTACAAGGCGCCGATTCATCACGCTGAGTTTCGGACGTAGCACGTATTTCTCTCATCTATTCCACCCGTCCAGCATCCGATCAGTCAACGTTATCAGGACTCAGAAACGACAGGTTTGCGCTGCTTCAATAAGCAAAAAAACATAATTTCTGAAAGGGCTAAACGTTTTTTACAGATTGAAGTCTGTGATAGGAGTACATACATTTCTAATATACATATAACGTAATGTTTCACTATTAAAACGAGATGAACGGAATTAAATTCAGTTTGTGCGTAATCAATAAGGGAAACTAAAAAACGACGAAGCTAAAAAAATCCAGAGGCTAAATTTGGTTTTCTGGATAACGTTCCGTATATCCGTTCTCTCCAATTTCATTATTGCGACGTCAATAGCTGGCTCAATTAAAAGTCGCTATTTCTACTACTTAGGAAGATAACATGTCTGAAACAAATTGAAAGCAGTTGAGCTCTATGAAGACGATCCGCTTAGGCTTAGTTTTTGGTAGTTTAAGGATTTCACTGCCAGTTAAAGTAGTTCTACCTCGCTTGTGTAAGTAAGCTGTTATGAGCGGTTAAGATGAGTGAATCTTTACACTTACTCGTAATTGGGAATTAAAGAGCTATACATTTCTAAAAATCAAGATCCCGAAATATTAACTATTGCTACAATAATATATATATAAAGTTAGAATACTTAGTAGAATAATGAATTCTAAATTAAGCTTTGTAGAAGACTACTAGATGAGAATTGCCGTGCAATTTTTCGTATTGCTCAAAAAACTTGCTGAGTGAGTGGCATCGAGTACAGCTTATTGTGTGATACTTTAGCAAAGAGACTGATCACAATAGATAAAACATTTCATGCAATTCTATCACGATATGGCACTTTAACATTTAATTTAATTTAAAAAAAGTTAATAACTTCACTGATGCTTGGCCATGCTTGGCTTTATACTGTTAAAGTTATTTGCTTCAACAGAGGTTCAGCCCAATATTGACCTCGTATTTAATAAAATACAGCCAAATAAATTCTTATAAAAGTTTATACCGCGAATAAATTGAATCGGTTCCAATAGCATTTTTAACACAAAAAGTACCTACATATAAGCACCTATTCTGTATCTCAAAAGCAGGCATTCAATACTCTCAGTAAGTATAGCGAAAATCGTGTTCAAATTTCATTGAACCAATTTCAATGCTCGTATTGAAGACGATTTGTAGTTTAGTACGAGTTATTTCTTATCGTTTTGCGTAAGTATTTATTTGCAATAATTATTTATATACGAAATATAGATGTTATTTAATTTTAATAAAGAACTAGCTTAAATAGCTATGTACGATTAAAGAAAGCCGACTGACGATTTTAATAATGGACCTCTTATGAATTCACAAGAGATCACAATTTTTCTACTAAGCTTCTTATTAAGCTAAGCTATTAAGCTTCAATGGACTTTTACTACAGCCCATAATAAACAATGTATGAAATGTTCAAAGCTATTAAAATCTAAGCCTCTTGATCTTAAATCTTTGATTGGGTTGGCTAAGAAGTTTGAATTTTTTTGCACCTTTAAGGGACCGCAACAATGCATACTTGGAAATATTTCCTTACGTTTTACAAAACACAATGTGATCAATGTTTTTTTTTTGTATTTGAGGAACGGAACCCTTAAGACTAGACAAAATTATTAAACATAACGCAATTATTCAATGAAATCTGCAACTCATGTATTTCAATAATTTATTCGTAATTTTTAATTACAGTAACTTAATTGGTGTATGCGCTGGAGTTTATTGTCACGACTTAAACGTTTCAGATGACCTTCAAATATGTTTTTAAAAGCAACTGCCATTATTGCAGCTGGTTTCTATTAAATCCATACTAATATCACAATAATATTAAAAACGCAAAAATTTGTATGGATGTGTGTTACTCTTTACACGCAAAAGCTACATAATGGATTTTAATTAAACTTTACAGTAATATAGCTTATACATCAAAATAGGATATAGGCTATAATTTATAAGCGGCGACGGGAGTTGTAGGGGAAGAATTCGGTTATCGCCGAATGTGCGACCAACCCGAACACAGGCAGACGCGTTAGGGCAGACGTCGTTGATGGTTGTGTCCGTTTTGCAATTTTTCCAGGGACTAGCGATTTGTTAAAAGCGCACTTTATGTATTGTGATAGGTTAGGAAAGGTTAGAGGGTTTTTTGTGGTTAGTTAGATAGGCTGGTATTGTATTTTTTGAGTATAAAATAATAATAGCTGGGGAACTAGATTTTTTGGTGGTGTAGAAAAAGCAACTATATTAAAAATTATGCCGCGAAAGCATAAGTAATTTTTCCCGAAGCTCTAATAAAGCTCGACCTAAAAAAAGTTGCTAGATATGACGAGATGTTTCCACAAGCTGAATTGCGAAGGTTTGAACAGGCGATGCGTGAGGCAGCACTCAGAACTGCTGAGTTACCAGAGCAGTCCGAAACTTGGCGTCAAGAGCATGCGGAATATCTGGTACCCCAACGACTCATCAGTCACCAAAACAGTCCCAAGATGGGCATTAACTATATGCTGAATATCTGGCATCCAAGTGGGTTGCTGAGACACCAGAACAATCCCATATGCTCGGCGTCAACAGAACGCTCAATATCTGGCATCCCAAAGATTTGATGGCACCAGCACAGTCCTAAGCTCGGCGTCAACAGCATGCGGAATATTTAGCATCTCAATGTATTGCTGAGACACCAGAACAGTCCCAAGTAGTGTATGTCACTTGCTGAAGACGCCCAGTCTTCAGCAAGTGACATACAATGCGTCCCAAAGATCTACAAAAAACCGTTGCAACAGCAGAATCTCGCAGACGCGCTGTTGCTGAAAGGGCACAACAACGACGTCAAATTTTCACAAGAAACACGTGGAGTGTTTTCGATAAATCTGCATTTGAGTACGACGAGACTCTTGATTATGAAAACCACAAGCTTATAAAAATAGAAGCGACGGACAAAGAATCTAGCTTTTGCGGTGCTCTTAAATGGAAAGAAGGAGCAGCAGGAACATAGGATCGGGTGGGAAAGTAACCCTTCCTTCAATAGACAAGCTATTTGAACCTCTTACATAACTTCTCTCTTATCAAACCAGGTGTTATCTAAAAAACATAAGGAACTACAATACATGCTTCCATATGATATCTTTTGGGGTGGATAACATTGTATCAAGGCTATGATTTTGTCCGACTTTCACAATCCAAGGGTAATTATACCACACAATTGCTTTGCTTCCTGCTACTAATATGCAACCAAAATTATTGCAAGTTTAATTCATGGGGATGAGGAAGCATGAGTCAATTGGCATTCTGAGTACGTACAAGGTGTAGAAAGAAATACAGTAAAAAATACAATAAGTAAAATAGGTAGCTAAAGATAGAGTGACTAGCGATAATTACAAGGTTGTGATACACCCAGATCGTGTACCTACCACGTATACCGCAGAACCAATTCTGATGAATTTAGCTAAAAATGTAGATGGGACCTAGGAAAAGTAGTACACAGCAAATTATTTCCTTTTTTGTTCTGTTTCATTTTTCTCTGCACATAATCCTAATTTAACGCGGACGAAGTCGCGGGCAGAAGCTAGTTATAAATGCGAAAGTGTGTCTGTCTGTCTGGGAAATCCATAACCGCTGAACCGCTTTAGATGATATTTGGTCTTTGTCTTCTTCCTCTTATTAGTTAAGATTACTTTTCACCGCGATAACCGACATACACACAGGCGGAGCAGCGGGCAAAAGCTATTATGAAATAAAATTAAATGGCAATTATGAAAAGGTAACATTGTAACAGACACCGTTTGGTAAACAGCTGTAAAACGTCATATCAATAATGATATCGATTTTTACATATGACAGCTGGTTTGATATGAATATACTTATAGTTGTTTAAAAAATTTCTTTATTGTTCTTTTTTTCGTGCTCTAAACAGATCCATTGAAAAACAGGATTGCTTACAATGGAACAGCTGTTTTCCAAAGAGTCACATTTAAATACTGTTGAATGTCCGTTTTACAACTAATTAAATGATAAATCATAAACTGCTATGACTCCCGGACTCTCTGAGTTGTAGGTGTCCACGGACGGTGGTAGGCTCACCACCAGGTGACTCGTCTGCTCGATTGACTCCTATATCATGAAACGAAATTAAAAAGTAGATCTGTCAATGACCTTAACAGAGAATGTAGACTAAAACTGTAGCTGTGCTATAGTATAGTGGTATTAATAAAAGCAATACCTAACCTCTATCCCTCTGTTACAGACCAAATTGTAAAGTAGTGAGATGTTGGACCAACCTGGATCTTATCATTATCCGCATAACAGTTTTACTGCGAGCTTTTTTTTCTGTATATGTGAAACTTTTAATAACATCATCATAACGGCATCTGTAGAAATGCAACTAGCTTTAAATCAATTTAGAATAATAAAAAATTAGTAATTCGAATTATCAGGAAGTTCGCCCCCTTATACCATAAAAACAAAAAAAAAGTTCCTACATTAATAACTTTTCCTTGATACACTATACCTACCAATCTGTCTAGGTTAACCCTATAAACCTAAAACTAACTGACTGTTTACCTCTACATTAAGAGCATTTAATTATAGCTGGTTCATAAAAGTCTGATTCGGTATAATCAAAACATTTATTATTTTAAAACATGTTTATTATACATAACTTTAAATTATATTGTTCACTCTCTTTCCCCCGACCTCTATCGACCGATAAGCCCTTCCTGTTCCTTCCGCTTACAACAATTGTTTGATACCGAACAAATTAAAATCCACTACTTTACAACACGCCTTTGTAAGTTATCACTTTTGTAAGTAATATTACTTGAACTATGTATATAATTTGATGAGACATAATGTTAGCTTTGGCCTAAGTTACTTCTCTTTGATCTAGAAAAATATATCTGGGTAGCTCAAATAATTCAAAGTGTGTGTTCAGGGTGTGCTATTATCGATAAACCGATGAGCATATATGTAATGACAAATATGAAAAAAAAAACGTTAGCGACAAACATTGCACCTGCTTTTTTGAGCATTTTGCTCGTCAATACACACCGAATATAAAAATGTGTAGCAAAAAAGACAAATATTTTTATTTTACATATTTTACAATAAGTCAATGCAGAAGTGCCGTATAGGCTGCTTATGATTGGCAATAACACTTTTTAGCACGTTTTTATTTAAAACAGGTATAGATGTTTCAAGAACAACCAGTACGAGGAAAACGTATAACATTTCAGCTGTAATTTTACATAAACGGTCGAGATTGGCATTATTTTTTGGGAAAAAATATTAAATATCAACAAATTCTTGTGTACTTAACAGTAATAACGTCATACCAGCCTCGAAATTTTGATTTTTATGTTGATTATCTATTAAAAATCACAAACAAAAGCATAAACCGCTGAAAAAAATTACTTAACCCTAGTCAATGTTCTTATAGATACAAAACTACATATTTTCACAACTTAACAGGAAGTAAAACCAATTATTTTAGAAAAAGTATCAAGCTAGCTTAGTACGTAAAACAGCTGCAGCAGCACAGCCCGACCGAGTTCTCGCCCTGCTTAAATATCTAATTTTGTAAAATGCTATGTTGTGATATAGGCAGCTCTGAACCCATACAATGTTCATGGGCATACAGCTATTCGGTTTTAACTAAGAACCTTGGTTTAGTTTCTGGAAACATTTTTATGATATGCACACTACTTATAATTTGTAGGCATCACAATGTGAATATATAATATTAAATAGTAACTAAAACATAAAAACCTAAGAAATAAATATGTGAAGTGTGTACATAATTTTAATCCAACATCAGTCAGTCATCAGATGTTCAGAAATAAAGAAGATAAATAAAACACCAACTACCTAATCCACAATTCATTATTTAAATAATACACAATATTTAATTACCAGGATAGTTTATCAAAGAGGGTAAGCTCAAAAGAATAATCCATCGTGCTGTTTGTCATTAAACTGTCATTTTAAAAAAAATATTTTTTTTAAAAACAACTCAAATTAGGAATATATCCTGTGACGCTTGGGACTTTACAAACATATGAAACGGACACAAAGAACATCCAGACTCAGAACAACAATTTGTGGATGACACAAAGTGTCGTGTCAGGTGGGAATCGACTCATAGCATAAACCACAACGCCATCCGTGCAGTCAATTGTTAGATATGCACATAAATATGCATATACGAAGGCTACCTATCTCTTATTAAGATCGCATTATAGGCACCTTCCTGATACTACTAATAAAGGTTATCAATAGTACATAACTATCATAATTTAAAACAAAGCTCTCGTTTCTTCTTTGGTTTCGCTAGTATAGCGATATTAATAACAATCCATTATAAGTAATCTTGTATTCTACTATTCAGCTATAGTATAAGATCAATCTTGATAATTTCGACATTAAAAGTTTTGCACGACTACAAATTAGCAGAAGAAATTAGAGCGATAATCATACCCATGTTGTAATTAAAGTTGTGACCATTCCAAAACACACTAAAGAAAAAGCTTGTTTCTCATTTACGTAGTCGCATAAAGGTAAGACAAATACTCTTCTTCTTACATTTCTGTTGGCACTCCCGGAGTGCCACTGTTTCTATAGTGAAAACTTCCTTAGGCGCGTTGGGCATTTTTGAACAACAAACAAAATAATGTATTTTATGGGAGGAAACCATTGAACTCGCGACACTGTTACCGTTACCGACACCTCTGTTGAAGTGAAAACTTTTAGCGCGTGGGGTGGTGGGTGAATTTTGTTTTCACTTCTGTCGGCACTACCGGAGTGCCACTGTTTTTTTTTTTACATAGGAATAGTCCTCGCAGTAATATTATTATAATATATTTATTATAGGATATTGTAGTGTGTGGTTGTCCGTGTGGTGACGGATTAAGAATACGGATTGTCACCACCCCAATCATCCCGTGGGTGTCGTAAGACCCGACTAAGGGAGCAAACTACGCAGGACAACAATACTGAAAAGAAAAGGAAAACTTGACACAAACCCAATTTTTTTTTTTTTAACGTGTGGAAACCCCCTCGGGCCGTCACCCCACCGGGGTTTACGGCGGGGTGGTGTGTCGGAATTGGACCGACTAAAACCACACGGTGTGCCACTCTGCGCCTATAATAGGAGGGATCCGGGAACTGCTGTTATTAGGACCTCCGGACCCCTCCTAGCGCCAGCCCGCTCCTGGTGCGGGCTCCGTCTCGATGTAGATGTTCCTCTCTTTAGGCGACGTCCGGCACACGCGGACGCCGCCCCCTCGCGGCTGGCCAACGGCAGGACACAAACCCTTTTTTTTTTTTTTTTTTTTTTTTTTTTTTTTTTTTTTTTTTTTTTTTAACGTGTGGAAATCCCCTCGGACCGTCACCCCTCCGGGGTTTGCGGCGGGGTGGTGTGTCGGACTCGGACCGACTAAAACCACACGGTGTGCCACTCTGCGCCTGTAACAGGAGGGATCCGGGAACAGCTGTTGTTAAGACATCCGGACCCCTCCTAGCGCCAGCCCGCTCCTGGTGCGGGCTCCGTCTCGATGTAGATGTTCCTCTCTTTAGGCGACGTCCGGCACACGCGGACGCCGCCCCCTCGCGGCTGGCCAACTAATGCGGGTGGAGGGGAAACCCACCCCGTCCACCCGCGGCCACACTCAGGGCGGCATGAGGCTGTGGTAGGCGGGCCTCCGCCGCCCGGTTCGCCGGCGGCGGATCGGGTCCGAGTGGAGGTCGTCCTCCCGGGCCCTTTCCGCCGCCTCCTTCCGCGAGATTACTACCTCGCAGAAGGTTGCGACCGCGGTAAAACAACTGTCGCTACCGGCCATGGAGCGTACTACGGCCGGTAGCGAGAGATCCACTCCGATGACTGCAGTGAGGGCCCGGCGCTGCGCCGCCCATGCGGGGCAGACCGCCAGCGTGTGCTGGGCCGAGTCCTCACTGCAGTCGCAGTGGTGGCAGGCGGGACTCAGTTCCCTCCTAGCGACCGTG